TTTATTTTCTTATACAAAATAAATACAACTATACTTTAAATAACTGCAGGCTTATGCTTATTTTAATTGATCTCCAGGTATTGCTAATATAAGCGAACATCGAGTCCCAGGAATCAATTGAGAAGAAGGCAAATCGAACGATGGGACAATACTTTTATTTGCCTGAAGTTTCAATATCCGTCGCTTATTTATCATCAGAGACATAAGCACAGCGCAGTACCAGATACAGGTAGTGTGTGTACAGGAGTTTTGCCATTTAAGACAGTTAAAATTCAAACGTGTGCAAAAATCGATAACTGTTTGGTGTGAGTGCTGATTTGTTACGCAAGACGTAGGATGACGTGGTGGCCTGTCCATTCCCCAAATGGCAATTTGCTTTGGCCAAACTGAGTCTCAGATCCAAATATGGATTGTGGGACTTGTTGCACTTGTTGATGGAGTGGGGGCCTGTTAACCATGACTCAAGTAATTCTTGGCTCACCCGATTGTCATCTCTGGCGAGTATTTCGGCTTCACGGTCAAGACTCCAATGGGCATACGTGTTACAATGGTTTAAATTGTAGATGATAAAGGGCGGAATCTGAGAAACCACAGTTCGAGGTGAATGAAGATTCTTAATTACAAACAATAGAGGCTTCTCTGCCAAATGATAATATAATCAAACGTATTTGACTATTTATATCTTGCGACAACGCTTATGCAACACGCTATACAGGCACACGCGTTGCTGCCCAAAGCTTATGCGAAGGCCATGATCAAATGGATAACAAACAGAGGATTTCTCAGTATCTCAGTATAATTTGGTGCTACATAATTTAATTGTAATCATAAATTAGAATAATTTCGAAGATCGTAAAGCGGTTCTCTACACATTACACAGCACATTTATTTGATTAACTTGCAAATATACCTGATTAAAAATGCGAGCAGTTAAAAAATACGGCTTTAATAGATTTTTCTAGGGTTGTCGCCTATAGGCCACGACATGCAATTGAACACATGTTGTTTCTTGTAAAAGTTTAACAGGACCTCCCTCCACTGCACCGATTGGGTAACCTTGGGTCAGTTTTGATAAGAGTTGAGTGACATATATAAGTATTGACTCACCTTTTCCTTTGGGAAATGCCACGAATACGTTAGTGTGATAGCGCTTTTTATAGTTGTAAGCAACGCTCAGTTCATGCCACCTAATCCAAAGGATTTCAAAGATCAAAATACCGTGCTTATGCTCCTTACTACGGAAACTGGTATCCAGACTATCACAGAAATTGCACATTAATGGGTAGAATCATGATTAAGTCATTTATTATTAAGGGGAGAAGGCTTTCGCCCTTGAGCTCCCTGTAATCAAATTAGAGTTCTACGCGCTGGTGTAAAATGCCCCAGATCTCGAATGACAATCACCCGAGCGAGCTAAGAGAAGAGTTTCTTATGCCCATTAAAATCATTAATAAACAAACAAAAGTTTGTTGTCAATCGCTCCTTCTGAGTGTTAATTGTGTTTATCTGCACTAATGTAAGCAGCGATATATTGTATTTCGCTGAATTTAATCTTAGCTTTTGATATCAACTTCCATTTGCTTGCACGTGTTTAGAAATATTCTTTAGCTGAGGCCTAATTAGCAAACGTTGCCTGCACAGGGTCAGTGTGAATGATTTTTAATTACAAAGGCCGTTCAATCGCGTAAATTTTGATGTAGTTCTTATTTTCATTCAGTCGACATGATTTATTGTATATAAACAGCAAATAGTTTTATCACATCAAGTTTTCCGATATTGACTGCACCAGTTACTGGTTTTTTCGAAGGGCCTTTTCAGGGACACATCAATCCATTTCTGGTAATAAGACCAATGTTTTAACTGATAACGTACTGTCGGCAAGATGCTGGCAAGATTTACCCCGAATTCGCAACCGTTGTGGACCAAATGAAACTGCAGGGGAGCTGTTGTTACCACCACTTGAGGTGTTCGGGCTGTTAAACGCTGGATTTCCGTTGTGGTTGTTCATTTTTCGTCAGATTTGCTATCAGGGTATAGACCATATGGCTGGCATTTCCGTAGGACAACCGACAGCATTAGTTTACCAAGATGACGCTAAAATCACTAAAGTAATCTTTTATTTTTACCGAAAGGGAAACATTTGTTGGCACCGGAGTATCGATAATTACATAAGTAATCATCCATATGGATTTATATGCAACAACATGTGTCATGCTAGATGTTGCTAGTATTGAATAATTGTTCTGTTAACAGACAGTGTCACCTGCCGAAAACGTTTGATGCAATTGTGAGTCGTGAACTTAAGTTCGCGAATAACCAAACTTATTGAAAATAATTGAAATGATTTATGGAATTATCTACCATAGTAGTGGCACAGGTACTAGGTAGAACCCCAGACACATGTTTAGCAGGTATTCTGTTGGGTTTTGAGACAGTTGCAAGGGATCCGGCTCACTAGTGGGTCCTTCAGCCTTTCCTGTATCTTTTATATTTTTCAATTGTACTTATTTATGACCACGGAACCTTACAGGGCGCTGGAATTTTGTTCCTTTCTGTCCACAAATAGTTACCCGCTCACCTTAAGTACAAAATCAGATTTTAATATAACCTATATACCATATCCAGTGGACAATGACCACTAAACAAATTTCGACGTGACTTTCGAATTTGTGTTTAGAGGATCTACAAATTCATCTGAGATTATAAATAAATGCCCTTTTCGATGGCAAATACTTGTACCATACGGTTTTGCAGTTCTGTTTCCAACCTGAAGGTCTTTAACCCGAAGCAGGAATGGTCCATCACTACTGTGCTCTTAAGTGGAACAATTAAACCATACAACAGAGCATTCAAGGCGCTCCCCTTTATCTGCAATAAATATGCCACAGTTGATCGATCTTTTGTCTTTTTGACCTACCATTTAGTATTAAGCACTTTTTAATTTATTCAATATTTTTTAAAAGTTCGACATTTCAGAGTTCCTCCGTCTTTATAACCAGTTATGTTTCCACCTGCATATCCTCTTATTACTGTACCAAACGCTCTATGAAAGTGGCTTTTTACCGTTTGTCAAAAGCGTGTTTGTGCAGACTCTACGATTTTCAACTGTTTTGACGGAAACCAAAGTTTTCCTGTATTTTTTGAATAAAATTAGGCGATGGAAAAGCGGAATTCCATAAGGAATACAACTGGGACTGTTTGACTCCCACATAAAATCGATAATTCAGAAATGTTATGAATTCAACAGTTAATCGAATCCATTATCGCTATCAAGGTCCAATGGCATCTAATAGACTATATGCCCAGCTAATCCGACGCATTTGATAGTCTTAAGGACTACCATGTTATTCCTCACATAAGCATGGCTCTGTTTTAAAAGCATCTTAAACAACGTGCATGTTTAGAAGATTTAAGTAATAAATGAATAATTTATACATTTGTTTTGATCTAAAAGCTTTCGCCCTTGAGCTCCTTATTCATATTTAACAATAGCAAAACCTTAACAACAGTACATATGATAACTGCAGAACTAATGTCAGCGATAGGTTTGAGACAGTCTTATACAATTGAAATTAGGCGAATAAGTACATAATTGTGTAAATTTAACACAGCAAAAGAACAAATTGAATGTTCACAAACCTTCGTAAACTGGTCTACTTGCATCTTTCATCGTGGATACGTCATTTCTTTACTATTTTGGCATTATTTTGTTTTCTGTTTTCTTATTTAAGTTTGCAAATGGAAGACGACTCAAACGGCGGCAGTTACGAGAAAAGCTGGTAAAATATTCTACTATTGCAAAAATTACGTACCTTTTAGTGTATTTTGCTCATAAGGAATTTTGTCTAACAACTTACTTTGTATTATTAGGGGTTTAGCAGCTTTCAGTAATTTAATTAACCTAGTTTTGAAAAATTTTCGGCCTCAATGGGAGCCGAACGCAAGCAGTAGGGAAGGCTTTTGCGCAGCCAACGCTCTACCACTGAGCTACAAGGCCCACCATGCGCCGTGAATTTAATCACACTTGGGTCGATTTGTTTGCCCAGCTTCACTGCACGTATCTAATCCACCACTACGGATGCAGAAAATCAACACATAAACAATACGGGTACTTTGTTTAAAAACAAATGCATTTAAATTTAAATGACGGTTAGTATTAGGTCGAAAGTTTTGACTAGCACACAGTAAGAGCTAGTCCGAATTAAAGTCGCTAGCATTCTGCATTTCACAATGTTTTGTTACTTCATGAACCACCCATAACACTAGGTTTCCTGGAACCTGGAGTTTTTGTTTTCAGTTTCCAAAGTGAAAATTCAAAACCATGGATGTACGCTCAATATATTTTTCATATTTATTGAACCGAAAAATATTCAAGTGGACGATAATACGGCGGCTAATTAATATATCCTTACACTACAGAAGTTACAGTAAAGATCGTATTAGTATTTTTAAACAATGAAGAACTGCACCACGAGTAAATGCAATAGATAAACAATGAAAAATTCTCACTGGGGATATTTTTAGAATCAGTAATGATTCTCACGTTAATAGCAAGGGAGAAACTTAAAGGTGAGGAATTTTGATTTTTTTGATTGTGGGATTCCTGCTTCTTACTAAAAGAATGTCTCCAGCGCCTAGCATTACAACTCGGCGCGATAGAACTTTGAGAACCTTTTTGATATTTTAAAATAAACTTAAAATTTTATGGAATTTAAGATGACAACAAAATGTGTTTGTCCCCCTTTTTTAGTTCTAATGGCTCCTTTCCGGAGGTCTCCGTAAGCTGACATTTACATGTTTACTCATCAAAATATTAGCCAACTCGTCATCTGTGTAAATTAAGTGAAGTCGCAGTTAAAACTTATTGCAAGGAATGTTCCCAATTTCAACGAGCTACTGAACTTGGACAAGATGCTGAACTTATCAATTGCCCCTGTGCATGTGGCGAGTTTTCTATCCATCACAAAGGTAACTCGGCGTTAATCTTTTTTTCCTTAACAATGCCAGATATTCCAGCTGCTGCCACGGACGCAACTGATCCTGATTGCGGCGCCAAAATTAAAACTATATCACCTACAAATGCAGTTGGACAGCTGCTCTTCACTTCAAACGCCTTCCCGCATAAAACGGTTGCTGAGGTGGGTTGATTTTATATGGACGACTGCATGTAGCGCTTGACATATAGCACACAGAATACTCTTTCCTGCGGTAATGGAAACTTCTCACATAATTATAATGGACTTCATCCATGCATACCAGCTCTTTCTTTGCCCCCATTCATTATTAACAAGATGGCTCTGATGGCAAAGTGATACGAACTGTAAACTTTTATAGACCACATAGATTTATTATATGTGAAACATTCAATTATATATCATTTTTATTATTCAAAAAAGTCATGATAAACTAGGATGTACTACTTTTAGGCTCCCTAGTATTTTTAAGACGCTTTGCGCTTCGGTTTCTAAGACAGAACAAGCAACAGACATACTGCTAATTTTATTGTTTTCGTATAACAGGATATGACAATCCATACAAAAAGGGTCTTCTTGAAAAACAGATGAAATGCGCAAGAGGATTTAGAGCGGGGTACCCGAGTATGACACTTTTAGTTTTATCACGGATTTTCAAAAGGTTCACAAAGGTCTTTCAAAGTAAAAAAAAATCAGAGGAGAAAGTGTTCACTTCAAAAAACAGCGAAATCGAAATTTGCACGGCGGCGAATTTTTCTGGAAAGTAAATTGCCTAGGAAATTGGAGTAAGGTGGAAGCATCTAGTGGTGTGTCGGACACTAAATTACATAATACAAAGTATAAATTACGGGGTGTATTGTAAAAGTATATTGTCTGATCTTTCAAATACTGTGGGCGTCAGTCGACAGTGGTGCTGCTGGAAATAATAAAGTAAGCAGTTGCTTAACCAATCAGTATACAGGTCTAGAAGGTCACAGGGGATTTTGCAGGCTTTAAGTATCTTTAGAAGTCCGATAGGCCCATTGAATGAGTTCTTATTATGTTTCTATGTTGCTACTCGATTTTATCGCTACATCTATGGTTACGAATTTCATGTTTTCGATCCCCTCTGGGTTGTATTTTAAAATTTGGCCAAATAGTTTCTGAGCACGCTCTCAGTTAGTATATAATTAAAACACCACTCTAGTTCTAACCATCAACATAAACCAAAGCTCTGGGAAACCTTCACAGGGTTCCGGTGTTGAAACGGCTCCCTCTATTACAGCAGGTGTCTGGAAGATAGATAGGTGCCTTGGTTTGCAATTCAGAATTGTTTCGAGGTTTACTATGCGAGCTCTCTCAATTGCTATAAATATCCGCTGTGCATAGATAATTAAACCGGTCGATTATGCTTATCAATTATTCTATTAAAGTAAATTAAGTAGCTATATTGGGAAAAAGTAAACCACGTATCCTTGCCTTTCGACAGTACATACGTCTGTCAGACGATAATGTGGACGCGGCTGTGGATTGCCTGGTTGGACTCGCAGAGGAGATAAACGCATGCATTTCAGTGCTTACCTCTTCGCAACCACAGCAAGTGAATCCAGAAATTCTAACTCCACTTTTAGACGTGAGTTTGGCCGTCTCTTAATTGGTTTCGAACCAAAAATGTAAATACGTACTGTCTGCAGTGCATGCATGTGCATACGTAAAAAATACAGGAAGCAATCAGAAAGTGCGGTTTCTAAGTAAAACACCGTATCTAATGTTAAAGGGAAAATTTTTTTCTAGAAATGTTTAATTGTCATGTTCCAAAGCTCACATTACCATCCAGAAAAATAATTCCTTCCATGTGCCTTTTGTTTTTGAGGGCTTTGAATAAGAGTAAAAGTGAACACATTGGTGACCGGAATTATATTTTTACGTATGCTATTTGAATAACTATTCAATAAATGAAAGGGCTCTTGTGTGCAGACACCAGCCAACAGCAAGTGAAGTTTCAATGTCGATAAGATTTTTTAGCAAGAGAAACTGAAAATTTGACGCTGCAGCAATACAGTTTT